ATATGGAACAGCCGGAGTAGGTTACGACAAAGAATGCAATAAAATTGACAAAATAATTTGTGGCCGCTAGTAGGTCAAACCGTAAGATCTGAAACAAGCGGGCAGTCCGAACCATGGAAAATATGGGATGGCAATAGTCCATAAATTTTAACAAAGGTGTGATTAGCTTAAGAGATTATGAACTGTGGAGGGCGTATGGGGTTTCGGCATTTTGACTGGCAACTACTAAAACTCGCTCGATTCAATCACGCAAATTGTACTCATACTTCACCTCAGCACCAAGTTTCAGGCTAAGTATCAAAAACCTATACAGGCTTCATGCACCATAAACTGCGGCTCAGTTTCCAGTTCCTACCTCCAACTAGGGGCACAGCTCCTCTGCAATCAATAATTCCCTCTGTTATGACGGGAATTACAGGAAAACACAAAGTAGCGAACTTGTACAGCAAAGAAGCTGCCTTCAAACAGTTATAACACCATTTCCACATAACGATACTGTTACTTGATCTTACTACTATGACGTTATTGTTCCCCATCCAAAAAAAATTTCTGAAGCACTGTAACTTCAATATTTATTACTTCATCATAATAAAACTGACTTTTTTTTGAAAAAAAAACGCAATAATCTCGTTCATCAGTCCATTATTTACTGCAACACAGAATGCATTTTTACGCTTCATTTCATTTTATGCCAGAAGTTAAGATCCGAGCTTCTTTTATCAATGTCACATTAATCGATGCAAGTTTTCAAAATGCTTACGAATGTAGCGAGTGCACTCCACCTTCGATCTGAGCATTCGATGATCGACGCTCAAACCTTACTGTTCCTTCCGTAACACCGCTTCTGAAATAGTGCAGGATTTTTCTTAAAAGCATAAAACTTGTACCATCATGTGTGGCCGGACTATCGGACGTGAAGCATCAACTGAAGTGCACCGACACGCACAGTACAGCTATGCCAGGCATTCATACAGTAAACTGAGCATTTCTTCAATGCGCACTCACTGCTTCTGCTACGTTGGTACTCATAGTCTCCTTTGTTGGATTCTACTACCCAGACACAAGTGATAATAAACCCGAAATTTCTCAAAAATTCTCCCGCTCATTCCGCAAAATTCGAACAAATTAGAAGAACATTGTGATGAAGATTATGAATTCCCAAAAAATAAGTTTTATCCCTTGAAATAATACACGACTTTCTTCCACACTACAAATTGCAGCAGAACGTAATAGTGAATAAGAACAGCAGACTGATTCAGTATTCGAAAATGACATGCTTGCGTGAGACATTTGAAAACCGAAGCCATAAAGAGATCAATTCTGCAAACCTGAGTTCCTTT